CCAGTGCCTGGGAAAAACTGGGGTTAAAAGTATCAGCCATCTATACTTAGCTTACAAGAAACTCATTTAAAACAACACAAACTTGGTTCCTCAGTCTACTAAAAATGGAGCTACTAAACGATCCGGCAATTCCGCTCCTAGGGATCGTCCCAAAGGACACAAAAACATTCATTCAGTGTTTTTGCACCCCTATGTTTTGTATCCCTATGTTTATTGCAGCACTATTTACAATAGGTAAAACCTGGAAACAACCCAAATGCCCAAAAATAGATGACTGGATCAAGAAGATGTGGCATACATACACAATGGAATATTATTCAGCAATCAAAAAAAGATAAACTCATGCCATTTGCAGCAACATGGATGAGACTAGAAGGAATTATGCTCAGTGAAATAAGCCAGAAGGAAAAAGAAAAATATCGGATGGTTTCACTTATAGCAGGAATATGGGGGAAACAAATTAGACATCAGTGTAAAAAAATAACAACAGTACAAAACACAACAAAGCAAAAACAGACAGTTATAAATCAGAGACATATTGCAGGGGAGGAGGAGGAAGAGGAGTAAGAGGGAGGAAGGAAGGGATGAGTACAGGGGACGTAGGTGATGGTGCATGGGTGCACTGGTGAAGGAAACTCTACAGGGACTACACCTGAGGAGACAGGGGAAGCAAATATTATTTAAAAATGAACAATGATGTAAAACATAAAAAATAATTTACAAATAATAAATGCTGTTGTAATTTATACACATTGAAGAACTATGTCATGTAAATCAGTGGAGCTGTAAAAGCATCTTTAGTAATATATTAAATATTTATGGATGAAAAAATATAAATAAATAAAACAACACAAACTTAAAGTGAAAGGCTGAAGTAAGCTACTTCAAATCAATAACACTGAGAGCAAAGGTGGAACTACTATCCTTATATTTTATAAATTAGACTTTCAGCTAAAAATAGTAATCAGTAACAAACATGGCAACAATTCATCAACACAATGTAACTGTTATATCATTTATGTACCTAACACAGGGGCACCTATTAATATAAAACTACTATTAGCAGACCTAAAACAACACATTGACAAAAACCTTAATAGTTATGGCTTCAACACACTGCTTACACAAAGGGAAAGATTATCCATAACAATCTATAGATTACAAAACAGATCATCTAAAACAATCTATACATTAACAAAAAGTTAATAGAGAATATAAAGCCCTTCAGTGAAGTGTTGGACATAATATAAACAGTTACAAGGCCTTCTATCCCAAAATAAATGAATATATATTATCACCAAATACATGAAATATTCTTAAGACTGGATCATACACAGGGCCATAAAACATGTCTAAAAATTTTATGAAAATAGAAATTATATCAAGCTTCTTCTCTGATCACAAGGGTATAAAACTAGAAATTAACCACAAAAAGAATCCTGGAATAAATCAATATATATGGAGACTAAAAAAAAAAGTATTGTGGAATACCTCTTGGGTCAGTGAAGAAATCAAAGAAGAAATTAAAATTTATCTGAAGATTAATGAAAATGGGGAGACAATCTACCAGATCCATATGGATGCTCTAAAATGGGTATTATGAGGGAAGTACATAGCAATACAGGTTTACATCAAAACAAATTGAGTTTTACAACTGAAAAAAGCTAGAAAAAGAGGAGTAAACAAAATAAAAAATTAGAAGAAAGGGAATAATAAAAATTAGAATGGGACTAAATGAAATAGAAAATTAGAATGAGCAATGAAACCAAGCACTGGTTCTTTGAAAAGATAAACAAAATTTACAAATCCTTAGCTTGGCTCACTATAAAAAGAAGAAAACCAAAATAAAAAAAAATCAGAAATGAAAGAGGTAAAATTATAACAGATGCCACAATAATATAAAAGCTCATAAGACCCTACTGTGAACATCTTTGTGCTAACTGGACAATGTGGGAGAATAGACAAATTTTTAGAATCATACAACCTTCCAAGACTGAGCCAGGATAAAAAAGACAAAAAGCCCAATCAAAACACAGAAATTGAATGAATAATCAAAAGTCTCCTTAGGACAGATGTCCAGGATCAGATGTCTTCTCTAGTGAAATCTAACAAACCTTCCATGAGGACCTAATATTTATCTTACTCAAGCTCTTCAAAAAAATTGAAAAGGGTTGAAAAGTTCCCTGATACATTTTATAAGGCCAACATTACCCTGATCTCCAAATCAAACAAGGACAGCACAAAGAAAAATATATACCAATATTTTTAATGAATATGATGTAAAAATTCCAAACAAAATCTCAGCAAACTGAATCCAAAATATATTATGAAAATGATCCACCAGGATCAAGGTTTCATGCTAGGGATACACAGTTGATTCGACAAAATAAAAATCAATCAATGTCATTCACCAGACTAACAAAAATAGAGGGAAATCACATGATCATTTCAAGACACCTAAAAAGCACTTGACAAGATTCAACACCCACTTATGATAAAAACTCTCAAAAAAAATGGTAATAAATGGAACTTATCTCAACACAATAAAGGCCATACATGACCAACCCACAGAGAACTTACACTTCGTGCTGAAAAACTGGAAGCATTTTCTCTAAGATCATGAACAAGTCAAGGATGCCCACTTGTATGACTACTGTCCACTTGTACGACTACTGGAATTCCTAGCTGAAGCAATCAGGCAAGAAGAAGACACAAAAGAAACCCAAATTGGAAAAGAAGTGAAACTATCACTATTCACAGTTGACATAATATACACTGAAAACCTATATGACTACCAAAAATTTTCTAGAATATATAAATACACAAAAATCTGTTGGATTTCTATATGCAAACAATGTATCAAGAGAAGTAGAAATTTTAAGAAATCCATTTACAATTGTACCAAAAAGAATGAAATACCTGGGAGTAAACCTAACAAAGGAGGGGGGAAAATTATATTTCAAAAACTATAAAGCACTGTTAAAGGAAATAAAATAAAATACAAAGAAATGGAAAGAAAGCTCATGTCCCCGGATTGGAAGAATAAATACTGTTAAAATGGCCATATTACTTAATGCAATTTATTGGTTCAACACAATATGTAACAAAATCACAATGACTTTTTTCAAGTAAATAGAATAAACAATTATAAAAGTTGTATGGAACCACAAAACAGCCAAAGCAATTCTGAGAGAAAAGTGAAGGGATCACACACTCTGACTTCAAACTGTATTACACAGTAAAACAGTATAGTGTTTGGAATTAAAGCAGAAACATAGATCAATGAAATTGAATAGAGAGCCAAAAATAAACACTAATATGGACAGTTAATCTTTGACAAAAGAGCCACTACTCCACATTACAGAAAGGAAAGCCTCTTTAACAAATCATGTGGAGAAACATGGACAATAACATGCAAAAAATGAAACTTACTTAACTACATACACAAGAATTAACTTAAAATGATTAAAGACTTACATATAAGACCTGAAACCATAAAAACCTTAAAAGAAAATTTAAGTGATAACACTACTGAACACAATCCCAATGGCAAGGATAACAAAAGCAAAAATAAACAAGTGGGACTAAGTCTAACTAAAAAGCTTTGGTACCACAAAATAAACCATAAGAAAAACAAAAAGCCGATCAATCTATGGCCTAGGAGAAGATGTTCGCCCAAAATGTGTCTGACAAGGAGTTAATTTCTAAAATATATAAGTACTCATACAACTCAATAACAACAAAAAACAAATTGAAAAATGGTCAAAAGACCTAGTCACTTCTCCAAAGATGGCATCCAGATGGCCTACATGCACATGAAAATAAAATGTTCAACATCACTTGTTATAATGGAAATGCAAATCAAGACAATGAGATATCACCTCACCCCTATGAGGATCAAAGAGAATTGAAACAACAAATGTTGGTAAGGATGCCGAGAAAAAGAAACACTCATCCATTTTTGCTGAGTATATAGTTTGGCACAGCTTCTATCGAAAAATACATGGAGATACCTTTAAAAATTAAAAATGGAAATACCACATGAACCAGCAATACCACTGTTATTTATCCAAAAAATAAGAAAATGTTCATATGAAAAGACATGTATGCCTATGTTCGTAGCAACATTATCTACAAAAGCCAAGTTTTAGAATCAACCTAAGTGCCTGGTTACAGATAACTGGGTAAAGAAATTGTGGAATATATACTCAGTGGAAAACTACTCAGATTTTAAAAGGATGAAATAGTGCCTTTTGGACCAAAATGGATGGACCTTGAGGTGAGTATACTAAGTGAAGTTGGAAAGTGGAAGACAGATCCTGGAAAGTTTCACTTATTTGTATAATATAAACAACCAAAGAACACATTACTGGCAAAACACAGCAAAAATGATTCTTAGACTCTGTGAAAAACATCCTGGTTACCAGAGAGAACAGAGGTGAAGGACGTGATAGGAGAAGGAAGAGGATAGGACACTGACATGGAGTTTGGTGAAAGATGAATGAAGCAAATGGGCATAAGGAAATGTGCAAGTTATATAGCTATGTGAGTGGTTGCAAATAAATAAAAAAAAGCACGTGTTGTTTCAAACACATATAAAGCAAATGGGTTAAACATTTAACAATGAGGATGGGTAAAAAGCATACTGATGTTCATTGTGTTGATTTAATTTTGAAATGATTTCCAAACAAAAAGGTCTTTACAAAATTTGTGACATATATGAATATATCTAAAATATTTTCCTAGAAAAATTTAACTTTTTACTTTCCTAGAGCATGTATGTCATATGGTACACAATAAGTTTTTCATGTGCTTTTATCAACAAAATATTGGTTGACTATTATAATACAACATACATGCTCTAGGAAAGTAATTATGTTGAAAATAACATTATGAATGATAGACTTTTTGTATTTCCCAACTCACTCAAATATTCATTATATAGACTGGGAAATATACTGCCATATGACCCCAAAAGAATGGATCCTTAAACCACTTACTCTTCTAATGATCGATCCAGGCCTCGGTCAGGAGATCGATGGTGAGCACGTTCTGGTGAATGACATTTTGCATTTTGCTTTATTGTAGAACTCAAATGATAAGCATTACTTGAGTAATTCTGGCGGCGAAGCTCTTGCACAGCCCTCTCCCTAAAGCGAAACAGTGAGATTTTTAAACTTCATTTGCAGTGACATTATTAATACTACTATAAAACTAGAGTTCAATTCATACATTAAAAATCTAACCATCGGCGCCTCCCTGGTGGCACAAGGGGTTAAGTGTCAGCATTATGAAGCAATCCGCAGCTACTGCAGCACAAGTAAGATCCCCCAGCCAGAGAGGTGACCCACATGGTGCAGCAGACCTCTCCTGCCTCTGCCACTGCTACCCTCGGCAGTGTATTTCAGTCAATTTGTCTATTTTCCTGTTCTGCTCCCGACTCTGTCTCTGGTGAGTCCTCTCACCTCCCAACCCCCCTGCACCCCAGCTCCTATATGCATAAATAAATAATCTCTATAAATAAATAATATATACATACATACATAAATAAATAAAAATCTAACCATCATAAAATAAGCAAAATCTATTCTTATTCAAGAAACAATCATTTCCATGCTGAACACTGCATAGAGACAAACTTGCCTTTCAAAGCGCTCTGTCCCGAGTTGTCTTTTGGTAATATCTAAATCAGCCTCCAGTTGTGTTACAACATTTCTGAATTGGGCAACATCTCTACTCTGGATGGCCCTATGAAAGAAAATATGAGTGACAGGTGATTAAACTTAAAATATAGAGAGGATACTAGAATACATTAAACCTTGCTAGCAATGGTCTCTCAACTAGATCCAAGTCAAACTGTGATTTTATGGATAGACATATAAGTATATGCAAAATATGCCAATTTTAGATGTTGTAAACGTGCAAAGTAGCCTATGAAAAGACTATGCTGTCCCAATCCCATTCAATTAGTTAAACCTTTTCTGTCAGTTTCCCTATAATTAGATGGGGTGTTACTATCTATTGTACATCTATATTATCTATTACTATCTATTATATATCTATATTATCTATCTATTGCAAATCACTTTTATAAAAGTACATTGAGATATGATATGTATAGTAATATGAAATAACACTAGAATCATTAGCACCACGATTAATATGTTCTATTTTATAACTACACACACACATATACATATTATCAACCAAGAACTTTATATAGGCTTATAATGAAATTTAATATACTCAGTGTTAAAAACAAAATCTCCTCAATATAACAGAATTTTCTTAGGGCTAAATAATACTTCAAACCCTGTGATAAAACACATTCTCATCAGGAAGATAATGACAGATGAATGCTGCTTGCACAAAAGAGTCTGTCCTCTTTGTTTTCAGGATTGCATTATAGACTACTGAAATCTAAACTTTAGAGACTAAAAATACAAAAATGTATTATGCTCCCCAGTTCTACATGATAGTACTTAACAGCTGGGCTAAAAGAGAAAATGCCCTTTTAAGGTAGGAGTTTTGGCACACTTCACACACTTCACTAAGGACGATTTTCATTTATCAGCTTGAGAAAGTGATCCTACAGAACGCGCTGAAGGTATAACCAAAGCACAGTTGCAGTGAGTGAAAAGACTCAGCCATAGCTGCCAAAACCTGAAAATAGTTTTTAAAACAAATTTGCCCTGATTCTGCAGCCTTTGCTTAGTCAGAGACTCCTCTAAATGGCTAGTACCTGAGGCCATGATTTCCATTCTCTCATCCCATTTTCAAATGAGAGGGCAGGGTCTAGGTGGATAAAAAAGTGTCATTGATGGGACAGATAATGGGCTTATGGGTGTGGTGTGGTGACATGCAGCTGAGGCGGTGTGATCCTATGCTTCTGAATGGCATACAGTGTTGTAAACCATTGTTACCTCAATAAATAATAAACAAGCAAATATTTTTAAATGCTGTAAACAAACTTGAGTACCTTTTATTTGTATATGTTTTTGTAAAATTGTTTTTTTTTTTTAAGATTTATTTATTTCTATAAGTACCGGGGTACAGGCCAGATGTGAAGGAGGGTGAGAGGATTCACCAGAGACAGAGTGGGGGACAGAACAGGCAGACTGACAAATTACACTGCTAAGGGGAGCACTGGGCGAGACAGGAGAGGTCTGCTCGCCCTGTGGGTTGCTCTGAGGCTGGCTGCGATAGAACCGGCATTGCAGAGGCTGCGGACAGCTTCACAGAGTGGTGCTCAACAGCCTGTGCCACCGGGGAGGCCCCTGTTTTTGCAAAATTGTTAAATAAATTTCAAGAATTAAAAAAAAAACAAAACACAGGGGTCTCCCCAGTGGCACAGCGGGTTGAGCACCCCGCTGTGAAGCTGTCCTCAGCCTCCGCAGTGTGGGTACGATACCGGTGGGCAGGTGAGAATCCCACATGGCACAGCAGACCTCTCCTGTCTCGCCCAGTGCTCCCCTCAGCAGCGTATTTCTGTCGTCTGCCTGTTCTACTCCCAGCTCTGTCTCTGGTGAAACCTCTCATCCTCCCGCCCTCTGGCCTGTACCCCAGCTCTTGTATAAAAATAAATAAATCTTAAAAAAAAAAAGCAAAATCAGAGGTTAAGGGTCCATATTAGTTTTGTGAGAGGTAACCAAATTCCCAACCCTTCAGCTAAAGGTCTTGTGCTAACAATATTAGAGATTCTCAAAAAAACCAATGCTCTGGGTAGGTCTTTAGTTTCTGTGAATGCAGAAGTTCTTTTGTGTACCCAGTATAACTTATAGGTACATTAAGAAATACTATCTGCCAAGTGATAAGTACACCAGATGGATCCATATATAGAAAAATTGTTCTGATTTCAGAAGTGCTTGATTTTCCCCCCTAATCTGTTTATAGTATTTCCTAAAGACATTATTTCATTTATTTTTCCTACTTTTCAAATATTTTATTTTATTGTGGTAATACTATATTTTGGTATTGATTCAAGGGGATACTATCACACCTCTCCAGATGTATGTCACCAGCCACTCCCACCACCAAGACACCCACCATCCTCTACCATAGTCCATTTGTCTCCCTCCACACATTGCTATCCACCCTCCCCCACCCACTCTATTATATTCAAAGTTCTGTTGGAAACAAGAGATGATTAAACTTAAATTTAGACAAACACATAATAGAAATAAGCACTAAATCTCAGGCAAATCACAATATTTCTGGCCCTTGGTTTAAAAAATGGCAAATTATGGGCACTAAAACTTTCTAAATTCAACTCTTAAAACCCTCCCAATCTATAAAATGCCAAAAATTAAGAAACTAGGACTTAATGTTATTATATTGCTGACCAACTCACATTTTATTTTCTGCCAAACAAAGGTGTTCTTTAAGAAGCTGAATTTCAGATTCTTTTTCTTGAAGGGCTATCTGAGACTGATACTCTTTGTCTCGATTGGCCACCAGCAAAGCTTCTAGATTCTGCATGGAGATTCTCTCATTTGTCATCTGACTCCTGAGGAGTTCTATTTCAGAACGAGCAGAATCTAACTCATTCTCCATCTGTACAAAAACAGGAAAATAACCTATACTTATTCCCTTCATTCAACATATTATCAGAGATTCATTAAATGTATTATGTTCTAAATTGACAAACCTTTTTAATTTTTTGACTAAGAATTTTGTCCTTACCAAACCAAACACACACACAGAGTATCACTTTACCCAACTCTCTATCAAATCAAAAAATTCATTCAAGTAAAGACTTATTAATCCAGAACTGTAAACAATTTCCATTTCCACTTTTCATGTTTCTTTATACATTTCTACAAAACTGACATGGTGATATCTGTAACTACTGCTTTGTTATGAGTTAGGTGAATTACAAGCTTATGGAATGTCATTGTACTCCATAATAAGGAGGACATTCCCTCCTGCATAAATCCGTGGAAAGCTTCATTTTCTGAAGATCATTGTGAGCCTAGAATATGTTCTATAAGCCATTGTTATTCAAAGGAGGAAAACCAGACATAACTATTAAGAAAAAGCCTATTCCTTGTCTTATAATATACATTAAAATAAATATATAGGCATTTGAAAAGTTAAATATGAAAAGATAAAGTCTAAGAAAATAGAATTAAATAAAAATGAAAATATCGGGGCAAATAAGGGAAGAACTTTCTAGACTGTGTACAATTTAAAAATGATATCTGGAAATAAAAAACAAAGACATTGATAGACAGTATAAACTTTTTAAACAAAATTTATAAGGAAAAACTGGAAGAAAATAAAAACAGTAAATAGTTGATCTTACTAATTTAAGAAACTGATACAAATTGATAAGAAATACAAAGTAATGATAGGAACAAAAATATGAATACAACTAATAGTGAATATATTGAACATTTTACCTTTATTAATAAGCAAATAAGTATAAATTTAAAATAAGATAATATTTCTAGTCCAGGGTTTCTTAACCTGGAGACTATTGATCTTTTTGGTTGGATAATTATGTGATATGAACTGCCCTATACATAAGATGTTTAGCAGCATAGCATCCCTGACCTCTATTCATTAAAAGCCCGTAGCAGTCCCCACCCACCCTGTTTAAAACAATAAAAAATTTCTCCAGATACTGCCAAATGTCCTCTGAGGAGTAAATCGCTTTCAGTTGACTCACTGTTGTTATCAAAGTGGCAAATTTCTTCATTGTATTGATTACATTAACATGGGCAATGACAATCTCATTTACTCTACTGGCAGGAATACAAAATGGGATATGACTATTTCTTGGTAATAGCTTTTTTTAAATGTAATTCATTTACCATACAGCTCACCCATTAAAGTTTAAAATTAGGGCCTTCCTGGTGGCGCAAAGAGTTAAGCACTGCACTGTGAAATATCTGCAGCCTCTGCAGCTCGAGTTCAATCCCCAGCTGTTCAATCACCAGGTATCTCCCCGGCCAGGGAGATAACCACTGGCACAGCAGACCTCTCCTGTGTCACCTGCTGCTCCCCTCAGCAGTGGATTTCAGTCAGTCTGCCTGTTCTGCTCCCCACTCTGTCTCTGGTGAATCCTTTCACCCCCTGCACCTCTGGCCTGTATCCCAGTTCTTACATACATAAATAAATTAAAAAAAAAAAAATAAAGTTTATAATTAAATGTCTTCAGTATATTAACAGAGTTGTATGTTCATAACATAATCTCACAATCTAGTGTTAGAACTTTCCCATAATCCCCAAATGAAACTCAGCACCCATTACCAGCTATACATCTACAGCACCAGCCTCAGTAATCCCTGACCTATTCTCTATTTCTATGATCTGCCTTATTCTAAACATTTCACATATATATATATATATATATATATATATGTACTTGGTCTTTTGTGACTGATTTCCTTCACTTGATATGTTTATGAGTCATCCATGTTTTAGGAAGTATCAATACTAAAGTACATTTATTGTTAAAAAAAATTCCTTACATAGATGTAGGAATATTTGAGTTATTTACACTTTCTGGCTATCACAAATAATGCACTAAAAACATTTGTGTACATTTTTAGGGGCAGGGACATATGTTTTCATTCCTCTTGGATAGGTGGGAGTAGAATTTCTAGGTTTTATGTAATCCTATTTCTCATATTTAGAGAAACTGCCAAAATCTGTATGAAACTTGAGGCATTATTCTATGTGAAACAGTCCAGTCACAAAAATACAAATACTACATGATTCCACTTATATGAGGTACTTAGATTAGTTAAAATCATAGAGACAGAATACAGAATGGTGGTTGCAGGGGCTGGGAAGGGGACAATGGCTGTTATTGTTTAATAGGAAGAGTTTCAGACTTCAAGATGAAAAGAGTTATGGGGATGGATAGCGGTAATGGCTCTACAACAACATGAATATATTTAATACCATTGAAATATACAATAAAAAATGTTAAGATGGTAAAGATTACATTATTCTCCTTTTAACACATAAAAAAACATTGTGAGAATAGTAAATAAACTACAAAATGTGTAACATCCCTAAAACAATAAAAATATTAATTACTTTAATTCTAATTATTAAAGGAATTACTCTTAAAATATTAAAAAGTAGCAACTTAATATGTAATTCTACTGCTAAAGGTAATGATTTTAAAAACATAAAGATTACTGCAATATACCTTATCTGGTAATGGCATAGTATTATTTTAATAAGCAATGGGATAGTATTTTCTGGTATTTCATCTTTATGTTGTTTCAGTTGTTACAGCAACACATATGACTTTTCCATTTGAAAACAGCAAGTAAAAACGCCTTTAAAGAAAAAATTAAGGGGCCTCCCCGGTGGCGCAGCGGTTGAGCGCTGGGTTGCGAAGCTGCCCGCGGCCTCTGCGGCGCCGGTTCGATCCCCGGCTGCTCCCCGGCCACCGGAGGAGGGTCCCACATGGCGCGCAGACCTCTCCTGCCGCCCGCTGCTGCCCTCAGCAGTGTACTTCGGTCCTTCTGCCTGCTCTGCTCCCCGCTCTGGCTCTGGTGAATTCTCTCACCCTCCCGCGCTTCTGACTGTACCCAGTGCATGTATAAACAAAACAAACAAACAAACAAAATAAATAAATAAAAAACATGCCTCTATAAAAAAAAAATAAAATAAAATAAAATAAAAAGATTTAATAAAAAAAAAAAAAAAAAAAAAAAAAAAAAAAAAAATTAAGGACATACTATTGGAACTTGTAGGGGCATGACATGCCACTGAGCAGGTTTTCCATGATCCCATGCAGATGGGGTAAAGGAGGAGTCAGAGTCCTCAGTGGTTTTTGCAGGTCTTTTATTTAGATTTATCAGGAATATGGCAGGCAGGGACTCTGGGGGTCCGGGAGGCTGGCAGTCTTCCCAGCCCCCAGCAAGTCTTCACTCTATCTGGGCTCGCCGGCATTCTCTGCTTCTCTCTCAGCTTCTGCTGGCATCCGCGTAACGCTGCCCTTAAAAACCCAGGCTTAGCCCAGGTGAATCCCACCTACATATGCCCACACCCTACTCCAGGTGCCCGGCATCAGGCATGCATTCAGGACCACAGGGTTCCGTCATCTATCCTAATGGTGGTAGGGCAGAAAAGCCTGACATTTTTTTCTTACCCTACAGAACTTTTACAGTAAGTATCTATTGATGAGTTGCATCCTTCATTACAAAGTTCTTACTGACTTTAACAAACCCTAGAAACTGAGACTTCCAGAGTGGAAGGGGAAGAGAGAGAACAAAGTGGTGAGGGAGCACAGTGGACTATGATTGAGGACTACGTGTGCTTTGGTAGTAGGTATGTATAGTAACAACACCTGAAGGGGGAGATCCTATACCTCTCAATCATATAACATTGTAAACCAATGTTACATCAATTGAAAAATAACTAATTTAATGAAAGGGAAAAAATAAAATAACAATGAAAAAGTTCTTGCTGAAAAAAAATAATTTAAGGAAGAGTGAGGATTTTGGCATATAACATTTGTTTCTAAATTATTAACAGTTGATTCTTATAGAAATCAACTACCACATAATTCTTAAAAGCATTATATCTAGCAAACAGTAAACAAAAAAAGTTAAATAGGATTTGGTAATAACAGAAAGGTAAACACGATCAAAAGTGTTATTTCAATCACACCATGTAGATTGTATGCATATTCCTTTAGTATATGAGCTCCACCTGCTCTCCAGACACATTTCTACTCACTTTTCCCATACATGCTATACTGGCCACTGCAAGTTACTTACTATTTACTCAAGAATTCCATTCATACATCCATACCATTACTACACTATTGTTCCTACTAAAATGGGATGTCCCATCTTCTGAGCTCAGTAGTATCTTTGTAAACTCTTCCCTGAAACCCCTGGAAGTTATAGGAATTATCTCTAAAAACTTGAGTATTTCTAAGTAGTATACAATTCATCCAAAATTATTTGTATGGTAACACTTGAAGGTCTTGAGGGCAGAGGTCTGCATCTTTTGAACTTTATATTCGCAGTGGCGAGTACAAAGTCAGGTACATGGTGGATACAATCAACTGAATTACAGTTGAATAGTACCCAGCCAATTAGTAAATAAATCCAGCTTAAAAGAGTATCATTAAAGTTATAATTTAGTTGGGAAAATGTCAACTTTGTGGTTCTTTGCTTATTGCTGTATCAGTGTGTGTAGGGGCAGGATTGACACAGTGCATGTTTTCTGATCCAGCAGACCGGGTAAAGGAGGAATCAGAGTCCTCAGTGGCTTTTGCAGGTCTTATTTAGAATTACCAGGTATAGGGCAGGCAGGGGTGCTAGGGGCCGGAGGCTGGCAGTCCTCCCAGCCCCCAGCAAATCCTCACTCTATCTGGGATCTCTGGCATTCTCTCTGCTTCTCTTCTCTCGGCTTCCATTCGTTCTTGGCTTTTGCTGGCGTCCCCATGACGCCACCCTTATAAATTGTCTCTCAGCCCAGGTGTACCCACTTCAGGTGCGTGCCATCAGGCATGCATTCAGGACCACAGGGTTCCTTCATCTATCCTAATGGCGGGAGGGCAGAAAAGCCTGATACCTTTTACCTTACCCTACAGTATGTTTTCTAATTCTTCTGGCTAAAAATAAATGCAAATTACCCATTGCAAGGAAGAGGTTCTGTTACCATCTTGAATTGTTTGGAAAACAACAGTCACAAATTAATCCCCTGGACTTTAAAAATAAAATCTAAAGTTGAAAGACATGGCTTGATGTAGTACTTTATAAAAATTTTGCTTTTTGCAAAATTTAAGTGGTTTTATAGCAATAGTAATGTTAAAAGAACCATTTAAAAACATATTACGTACCATTTCTATTTCTTGATCTTTAGCAACCAGCTGTCGATTAAGAAGTTCTTTGCTTGAGTCAAGTTTAATACAAAGTTCTCTCGTGGAAGACAAATCTGCAAGGGCAGACACTTTTTCAAACTGAACTTTTTGAAGCTCCTCTTCCATCTTAACAAGAGACTTATGTAAAGTAGAAATCTGGGACTTGTAAGACCTTTCTGCATTTAAGTGCTGCAAGGACAAAATTATTATAGATACATAATTTTTAAAACTTGAAAAAAAACAATATGGAAAACAAAGTACAGCAAATTTTTTAATGATAGTGCACTTAGATTATAAGGTACTTTAAAGGATATAGGTGGTAATAGGTTCAAAATACTCAGGGAAAGAGTAATTTAGATTTCAGATTGCTATAAATAAAATCCAAGTCTAAGCTGGTCAAATGATCACTTTTTAGTGTATTTAGAAAACAACTTTTCCCCCTTAAAAGTCTCAGATCTAAAACCCGTTGCTATATATACATGTTTTGTCTATGTTCTGTCTATGCCCACCATTTCAATTATTCTATAATATAAATGTTATTGTTTTTTAAAAAGATAATTTAGGAAAGAACATATCTGGAGGCACCACACTAACTCATTTTAATATATACTATAAAGCTCTATTAACTAAGACAGTGTGATACTGGCTAAGGACAGAACAGAAAATGATCTAAATATGATCATTTGAGTTTTGCCAAAGGTTCTTAAATAATACAATGGTGAATGATAATCAAGTTATTCTGGACAATTTCATGTTGAAAAAAAATTAATCTTGACCCTTATCTTAAATCATATATAAACATTAATTGAAAATGTATCACAGATCTAAATATAAGCTATAATAGTATAAGATTCCTAGAAAAAAGTTGTAAGTACCTTGTTATATGCAAAACTTTATTACAACAAAAGTATAAATTACAAAAGAAAACTGATAAAGTATACTTTATCAAAAATTTAAAACTGTTTTTAAGAAGATCGCATTAAGAAATTAAAAGGAACACTACGTGATTTGCACATCAAAGACATCTTTACAGACACATCACCCAAAGCAGTGATAGTGAAGGCAAAGATAAACAGCTGGGACTACATCAAATTAAAGAGCTTCTGCACAGCAAAAGAGACAATAACAAAAACAAAGAGAAACCCCACCAACTGGGAGAACATTTTTGCACCCAACACTAATGATAAAGGACTGATCACAAAAATCTGCAAAGAGCTGATGAGACTCAACAACAACAAAGAAAATAATCCAGTCCAAAAATGGGCAGAAGAGCTAAAAAGAAACTTCTCTGAAGAGGAAATGCAAATGGCCAACAGGCATATGAAAAAATGTTCAACATCACTTGTCATCAGGGAAATGCAAATCAAAACTACCATGAGATACCATCTTACACCAGTGAGAATGGCACATATTAAAAAAACTAGCAACAACAAATGTTGGCGAGGTTGTGGAGAAAAAGGAACTCTTGTGCACTGTTGGTGGGAGTGCAAACTGGTCCAACCACTATGGAGAGCTGTGTGGAGATTTCTGGACCTACTAAACATAGAGCTTCCATATGATCCAGCAATTCCACTCCTAGGTATTTACCCAAAGGACACAGAAACATCCATTCCAAAGAACACCTGCACCCCTATGTTTATAGCAGCACTGTTTACAATAGCTAAGCTTTGGAAACAACCCAAATGCCCAAAAATAGATGACTGGATCAAGAAGATGTGGTACATATATACCATGGAATATTACTCAGCATTCAAAAAAGATAAACACATGCAATTTGCAGCAACATGGATGGCGCTGGAAGGGATCATGCTCAGCGAAATAAGCCAAAAAGAAAAAGAAAAATACCGGATGGTCTCACTCATAGCAGGAATCTAGAAAACTTAAATAAGGGACCAGGAAAATGAATAACTATAAGAAAGCGAAAATCAAAATCAACAAAAAACTATGAACCAGAGACACTTTTAGGGGGGCGGGGGCGGGAGGGGAGGGATTGGGGTCAGAATGGGGGGGCTGCAATTGTATGGGGAATATAACAATTTAAAAAAAAAAAGAAATTAAAAGGACAAGTCAATGATTGGGAGAAAATGTTCATAATACATATATATGACAAAGGAACATCTAAAGTGTTCAAAGATATTCTTACAACAATAAGAAGACAATCTAATGAAAAGATGGGCTACACATTTCAACATATACTTCATAAAAAAATTATTAGTGAACAATAAAATGTGTACAACTGTTCAACATCATTAGTCATGAAGAAAATGCAAAATAAACTACAAAGTGATAACCCTACACATCTGTTAACAATCTCATATGTTGGAAAAGATTTAGAGCAACTGAAAATCTAATACAATGCAACTGAAGGTATGAAGTGGTACAACCAGTTTGGTACTTTCCTGCAAAGTGAAGCACACTTATGATCCAGCAAATCTACTCTGAGTTATTTATGCAAGAAAAATCAAAACTTATGTGCATACAGAGACTTATATACAATGATCACAGTGATGCAATTTTATTCATAAGGGCCAAAAACTAAAGACACCCTATTAAGTATAGAATTGTGTTCCCTCAAAATTCCTACGTTGAAGCCCTAACCCCCAAAGTGACTGTATTTGGAGTAGCACTTTTAAAGAGGTAATTAAAGTTAAATGAGGTCATAAATATGGGTTCTTAATTCATTATGACTGATATCCCTATAACAAAAGGGGATACAACAAGGAAGTACACGTACAGAGGAAAGGTGTTGTGAGGACACAGCAATAAGACAACTATGAATGAACTAGGTTGAGGGCCCTCAGAAGAAACCAAACTTGCAAGCACCTTGATTCTGGACTTCTATCCTCAACAATTGTGAGTAAATACATTTCCATTGTTTAAACCATCCAATATGTGCTTTTTTGTTATGGCAGCCCAAGGAGACTATGTCCATCAATAGGTGAATAAATAAATAGTTACAGGGCAAAACATAGATGAATCTTTTTGTATTGTTTTCATGTTATTTGGATAAATGGCTAATAGTGGTATTGTCAGATGACATGGAATTTCCATTTTTATTTTAAGAGCTCTTCATACTGTTTTCCATAAGAGCTGCACCAACTTGCATTCCTACCAACAGTAATCAGTTCCTTCTTTTACTGCAACCTCACCAACATTTGTTGATTTTGTTCTTTTTTATATGGGCCATTCTCACAGGTGTTAGGTGGTATATAAATGTGGTGTTGATTTGCATTCCCTTATAATAAGTGATGTTGAACAATTTTTCATATGTCTATAGGCCACCTGAATGTCTTTTTTAAGAAAAGTATCTATTTAGGTCCTTTGCCCATTGCTCATTTTTTGATTGGGTTGTTTTGTTATTGCATTGTATAAGAACTTTGTAAATTTTGGAGATAAGTCCCTTGTCAGAGTGTGATGTGTTATTATTTTTCCCCATTCTATAGGTTATCCAAAATCATAGACAGTATTGTAAACCCATGTTACTCCAATAAGGAAAAAAAATACATATATATATATATATATATTAGCTCCAAGAGCACATTATCGGCAAGCAGATAGATAAATTGATCAATGGAGTAAAATGTATGAAAACTTATTTTTACAACAAAGTAGACTTGTAATTCAGCGAGGAAAGGATGATGGATATACATTCACAAAAGCATTAAATTACAGCTCTTTTTCAAACGATACATGAAATCAAATCAAGTGGCTTAAAGATCTAAAATGTAAGGAAAAATTTTATGCTTTTAGAATTTTTGAGTCCCCTTTAAAGGAAAATATGAGAAAAAAACTCTGGATTTGTGATAGTAAAGGGTTTCTTAAAGCATATATGAAAGCATAAGTCACAGGACAAACAACTGACAATAAACCTAACTGTCAGAACGAGCATTTCATTTATATTGCAAGCACGTTAAAAGGCAAGCCAAAGGGCCTCCCTGGTGGCGCAGCGGTTGAGCGCTGGGTTGCGAAGCTGCCCGCTACCTCTGCAGCACCGGTTCGATCCCCGGCTGCTCCCCGGACACTGGGGGAGGGTCCCGCATGGCGCGCAGACCTCTCCTGCCGCCCGCTGCTCCCCTCAGCAGTGTATTTCGGTCCTTCTGCCTGCTCTGCTCCCCACTCTGGCTCTGGTGAATTCTCTCACCTTCCCGCGCTTCTGACTGTACCCAGTACTTGTATAAATCAATCAATCAATCAATCAATCAACCTTGTATAAATAAATAAATAAATATTTTTTAAAAAAAATGGCAAGCCAAAGGTTGTTAAAAGATAAACATAATACCTTTAAAATTTTACTAAAAAGAATATCTAGAAAATTTCTATAAATCAAATGAAGATAAACAACCCAGTAGAAAAACGGCAAAATTTATGAAAAAAAAATCATTCAAGAGAAAATTCATAGAGGATGAATCCTGAATGGCCTACAAACATAAAACAATCCCCAATTTCAGTTCTAACCTAGGAAACACAAAACAAAAAGTTTAAGAAAATTTAAAGTCTGCTAATACCAAGTGTTGATCTGTATTTGAGAAAATAAGTACATCAGCTCTGGTAGATTAACAACTTAAGAAGCAACTGACAATACTTAGAAGAGTTAAAAATATATCTTGAATCCAATTACTCTATTTCCAGATATAAACCTATACCTAAGGAAAACACAAAAGAATGTTGCAGTATTGTATTAGAGAAAAAGTGAAAATAAATTCCTTCAATAAGGGGATGGATTTTTAAAATAAAGTATTTGTAACCAATTATCATCACTGCTATTGTTGTGTGTGCTCTCCTCTCCCTCTGAATGTCAAAGAGAGCCTTGATGTGATGTCAGTTTTTATTTCAGACAGTGTAGACACAGCCTTAACATACCCTCTCTCCTTCTTGGAGGAGACAACTAGTATTGAGGATTGCCTATTTAGCAGGTGCTTTATTTATACCATCTTATATAATTAAAATGAAACCATGTTATTATAAAGAAGAAAATATTTGTAACAATGAATCTAGATGCAACATTTAGATGTATACTTGATGAAGCAGACTAAATTTCAAAATTATAATTGAACAAAAGAGGAAAGTTGAAAATGGATATCTTCAGTATATTATCACTTAAATAAAAACTTAAAGTACAAAAATAACAAGCTTCATTTGTGGTGACAGATATATAGAAAAGCATAAACATATGACAAAGGGTTATACAACTGATATGAAAGATATGCACACCAACCCTGAGAAGGGAAAAGGATGAGGAGTTATATCTGTAATGTTATGTTTCTTTAAATAGAGACTTGAGAGAAATATGGCAAAATGTTTGCATCTTTAAACCTAAGAAGAGGGTATATATGTCTTTTATGTTCATTTTGCAGAGTTTCGGAATGCTGAAAAGAGTTCATAATTAAAAAATAAATGTTAAAGAGAGCATCCCTGGTAGCCTAGGGGATAAGTCTCAGCACTATCACCACTATGATTTGAGTTTGATTCCTAATCCACATGGTGCAGCAGACCTCTCCTGTCTTGCTACTGTTCCCCCTTAGTAGTATATTTCAGTCAATCTGCCTGTTCTGCTCCCCACTCTGTCTCTGGCGAATCCTTTCACCCTCCCCAACACCTCTGGCCTAGACCCCAGTTCTTCCAGCCTAAATAAAGATATAAAATAAATAAATAAAGTAAGGGAAAGATGATTCTAGTAGTAGGGAAGATAAAAGGTTAGAGGAGAACCAGAGCAGCTATAAAGAAAATGGTTAGGAGGATAAAATTCAGTGTATATTTAAATAATTTAAGTGCCACCTTATATTTTAGTTTATGGAAAAGTTAAGCAAAAACTTTAATAGAATGCAGGATTAACTAACTACTCACATATTTCCCCAAACTTACTTGTTCAACCTCTCTATTGAGGGCATCAACTTTTTCTTTTAATCTGTTATTCTCTGCCTCAGAAGTGATAAGTTCCAGTTTGAGAGTATTATTATCTGCTTCTGCTTGTCGGGCCTTATTTTCCCAGTTTTCAGCATCTTCATTGGCTTTTCGGAGTTGGTCCATCATTTGTCGATTTTCAGATTCCTAAAAGGCAAGCCCTCAGGTATTACTTTAAAAGTTGTAAAATGTTCAACATATAATGCAACTTACTTGTCAGGTCATTAGGAACTTACCACAACAAACATTTATAACATAACCTTGAGGAATCCTACTTATACTCTTAGTTTAGAAAATTGACCAACCTTTAATTGAAAATAAAAGAGTGGGACCAGGATCTGAAACATGAGTCACATTCATCTGTCTAGTAAAGATAATTACCCTTATCTCAATTACCTGGAGGAATATTTTTGTTCAAACAAAATCCTTCATCACCTCCTTTCCCCATATTTCTGCTTGTTGACTACCTGCTGGTCTGGTTACTGAGCTTCTGTGTTGGCCTGAGCTGCTGTACCTGTGTACTCCCATCCTGACTATGTTTCTGGATTGTATTGATTACAGAGCTTCTGACTGCTTGCCCATCTCAAACATAAGCTTCTGATAATTCTCTTGGTTTCATGTCCAGTTCCTGCCTTTCATTCATTACCCCAGTCTTAATTTTCTCAATCAGGGACTGTGCTATGAATCACTTTTTCTTGTTACTCTAATAACTGCCTGAAAATGCTCAGAAGGAAATATCAAACTTAGACCAATAAACACTATTCATAAATGTACATCTACATATTGGGCATACAGCATAGCACCACATTGTTAAAATCTTAAAAATTCTGTCATGACAGATGGACTAAAATAGGCTCTTATTTCTAGAGGAAAAAATTCAGTCTTAAAAATAATATAATAAAATGATTTATCATTAAAAGGCCATTTTATTTTTTATTAATTAATTTATATATATATTTTTATATCAGTGTTCGTTTTTAAACAATATGTTTCCCCCAACCCCCTCAGGTGTAGTCCCCATAGAGTTTCCTTCACCAATGCATCCGTGCACCATCACCAGAGTCCCCTGTGCTCATCCCTCCTTCCCTCTGATCCCTCTCCCTCTCCTCCCCTGCAGGATGTCTAAGAGGCTATATTAAAGAACATTTTAGTAGTATAGTTTGGCCAACTCACTGTAAAACTCAGTTATAATTTGGTATTTAATTTAAAAGATACTAGATCTGTTTCTATCCTACCTTTTAATAAAAGGTACATTTACATATGAGAAATGCTAAGGCAAATGAAATGACCAAATTGCAATAAAGTATCACCCTATAAGTCTTTTAAGAGAAATTTAAATTCTCACAAACATGATTATTTTATCATAAAACTGGTTGAAATTCAGCTGATATCGCCATCTTGTGGTCTGGTTGTGCCTTGACAATTATAAAAGATCTCTGCAAAGTCTTAGTCAACAAATTATCAAGATTTGGATAGTGTCAAAGTTCAGATTTTCCAAATATGCCAGTAGAATATGATGTGTTTTATCCATTACTGTACTAAAAACAACAGTTGTGTTCAGAATATGTACTTGGGAGGTACATCATGTAATACACATAAAGTGTATTTTACTGATATCAATCTTTACCCTCTTTTAGAGGTTCTTACTGTCTTGTCATTTTCTTAAAATTGTCTTACAACTTTATGTAGTTAGTGGTGGATGAACAATCTCCCCAATCACATCTTGGATTTCTTAGAAAATAGAAACTATACTTTATATTAAATTCAGTTTATGACAAGGTAATGTAAAGTTCAGTTTAAACGATGAAAAAAGACAATGCCATAAAACATGTCTCCAGCCCCCACCACTGTGCATCTCTTTCTCGTAGCAACTAGAAACTATATTTTACCACTGTTTTTTTATCTGCCCAAAGTTTTTTTATCTGCCAAAGCAGGTTTGTGCCCAAGATAAGCAATATCATAAAGAAAGTGAAACTATTTTTCGGTATTCTCTAATTCCCATTTTTTTTTGGTCCTTCCCTACCCACAGTACCATCTGTATTCACTGGGTTCATTATAACACTCCACCAAGGCAACATTTGCTGTCCCCATTGGAATCTTTTGCAATTCTTGACTGAAAAATGGTATAGCCTCTCTTAATTGCTGTCCCTCCTTCTGATTTACCCTAACATACCCAGGATGACCTTTGTAAAAGACAATTCTTCAAATAACTTCTGTGCTCAAATTGTCATGAAAACAGTTTTAACAAATAGATGGCCCTACAACAAGATGATCAACTCTGATTTGCTACATAATGAGGCCTCTTTTCAAAGGTATGGTAGAGGAAACACTATTTTCAATTATTAAGGAATCCAAGTTGGTTCCAGCGCCATGGCCTTCAGTCAGTTAGGAGAATTCTGCTTATCTATAAATGGCCAAGTAGCAAACTAAAATGGGGCATATTCTTGAGATACCTTTCCAGACATGGGTAATATTCTAAACATATAATTAACCCATAATTATCAATAGAAAATATTCTATGTATTAAAGAAAGACTTAATTTACCTGTCACTATGAGTAGTATTGATTAATAACTTTAGCAAAAACTCTTAGGTATCATGAGCAGAAAGGAAAATATATATACGTACTTCAGACTTTAATATATTCTTCAGCTTGTTAACCTCCAAGTTAGTATCTTGGACCTTCTGTTTTATGTCATTAAGTTCATTATGAGTATCATTCAATTTTTTAGATAGTGCCTATGAGAAAAAGATAGCTAGATTTGATTAAAAATTGCTATAATTCAAAACTACCATAACTTTTTAAATATTTGCAATATACATGATAAATAAAAGTTAATACCTAATATTTATGCTCATATAAAAACAGTCAGAGAACAGAAGTCCAAACAGTGAATGAGCAAAGAAGCCAAACAGAGACTCCACAAAAAAGAAGTACACGTGAGCAACACATGAAAAAGGTTAAAATTAACTAGTAATCAAAGAAAGGATAATTAAAACAAAATCCTGGGCCTCCCCGGTGGCGCAGCAGTTGAGCGCTGGGTTGCGAAGCTGCCGGCGACCTCTGCGGCGCCGGTTCAATCCCCAGCTGCTCCCCGGCCACCAGAGGAGGGTCCCACATGGCGCGCAGACCTCTGCCGCCGCTGCTCCCCTCAGCAGTGTACTTCGGTCCTTCTGCCTGCTCTGCTCCCCGCTCTGGCTCTGGTGAATTCTCTCACCCTCCCGCGCTTCTGACTGTACCCAGTGCATGTATAAACAAAACAAACAAACAAATAAATAAATAAATAAAAACATGCCTCTATAAAAAAAAAAAAAAAAACAAAATCCTATTTCATTCATATAATATTAAAAAGTTATAAAAGATAGTATGAACATATTTAAGTACAGTGAAAATAAGTTAAAAAATATGTTAACAGTGGTTATCTCTGGGTAGTAAAAATTAGCTTTTAATCTAGTTTTTAATCAGGATTTTCATAAATACAAGCTGTACTTGCCATTAGCCTATTTGCTTGAGTTACAAGTAGAATACAAAAAGGTAGATCCTATAAAATCACCTATTTTGTTCTTTTTTGTTATTCATTAACTTTAATAAAAACACTTTTAGATGTACAAAAATGTTTTAGAGCTACAAAAATGTATGGAAATAGAACAGAGTTCCCAAATAACCTACACTCAGTTTCATCTATTTTTATGGTACATTTATTAATATGGTACATTTGCCACAATTAATGAATGAATATTGAAATATTTAATAAAGTCCATATTTTATTGCTCTTTCATTTTTATGGAATGTTCCTTTTTCTATTCCTGGGTCCCATTATTCAATAAGTTTGAACAAAGCATTTTAACATCTCATGTAATTTTTTTTAACACTTAATTGAACAGTCACATCTGCTCATATAAATTAATAGTAGCTAAAAAACATAAATTTTTATGATACAAACTGAACATAACATTGAGAGTGATAGGAAAGTGGGATAAATCATCTGGATCAAAGAATTTTGAGGGGAGAAGAAAGCTTCCAAAATAGACTTCTTCAATGTTCAAATTAAAATAATATTGGAAATGAGAAGTGTGGATAAACTGAAATACATTGGCTTAAAGAAGGAATAATTATAAAATAAAATTTCCTTAAAAAAAATCAAGCCAAGTGGCAAAAAGGACCCCAAAATGTGGCACAGTAATACTAAAACAGATTAAGACTTAGTCAAAGAAATAAATCTACCCTTTTCATGAAAGTTTCTAAAGGTTTTTATCATTTGCTTGTTGGTTTATTTAAATACTTACCCTTTAGTAAGTACTTTCTAAGCTCTAATAAAAACCAATTACACCCCCAATTCCCTCTTTTCTTTAATATTTAACACTCTAGATTTTAAATTTTCATTTTGAAATTATGTGGCATGTTCTATATAAATAAAGGTTAAAAAAGGGCTATTTCAAAAGTCTGAGGTTTCTTAAAAATGAATTAAGTACAGTAACTCAGAAGAAATAAATTTCTTTCTTGGAGAAAAAGATCCTAAGACCAAGTATACCTGGTTCTCTTGTTTAGCTTTAGAAAACTGTTCTTGAAGATTGTCATTCTCATGAGCCAAGATATCTCTTTCCCTAGCAATTTGAGCCAGCTCATCATTTGTTTCATCCAATTGCCGACGCATTCTGGAAATATCTTGTTCACACATAATTAAGGCTTCAGTAGACTGTCTATTTCACAAATCAAATAGTACATAAAAGACATTTTACTGACACAAATAACAAAATCTCAGAAAGCAGAACATAGACAGTTAACATGAAAACACTTGAAGAAGTCTAAAACACTTAAATTTATAGAAATAATGAGAAGACAGTGCACAGGAGTTTCTCTATGTTGCCAACATTTCACTAAGAAAAAGGATGCTAAGCACTGTTTACAATAGCTAAGCTTTGGAAACAACCCAAATGCCCAAAAATAGATGACTGGATCAAGAAGATGTAGTACATATATACCATGGAATATTACTCAGCATTCAAAAAAGATAAACACATGCAATTTGCAGCAACATGGATGGCGCTGGAAGGGATCATGCTCAGCGAAATAAGCCAAAAAGAAAAAGAAAAATACCGGATGGTCTCACTCATAGCAGGAATCTAGAAAACTTAAATAAGGGACCAGGAAAATGAATATAAGAAAGTGAAAATCAAAATCAACAAAAAACTATGAACCAGAGACACTTTTTGGGGGGTAGGGGGCGGGAGGGGAAGGATTGGGGTCAGAATGGGGCGTTTGCAATTGTATGGGGGAATATAAAAATAAAATTTATTATAAAAAAAATAAAATAAAAGGTATTATTCTAAAAAACAAAAAAAATAAATAAAAAGGATGCTAAATACACATAATAGTCAATGGCTAAGTATTTCAAAACTGACACTCAAGAAGAGGAACACCTTCATCCTACCTCTCTGGCTGCCGATTTAGTCTCCTTTGCAGGTTCCTCCTCCTCTGCCCTCTTAAAAATCAATTAGAGCTTATCCTTAGTTTCCTGATTCTTCCCACTCTATCCCTTCTCTTAACAAATGTAATTCATATCCATGGCTCCCAAACCCATCTATACCCAGATGACTCCAAAGTCATCCTCAATCTTTCTTACAGCCTCAATCTTTCTTACACTCCAGACTCGTATATTTAACTGTTTACCAGATATGTCAACAAGAAGGTCTTATAATTAGAGGGATGTCATCTTTCTCCACACACTTTCATTTCGTCCAGTATTCATCCCCAGTCAGAAACCTGACATTTTTCTAGATTCTCCTTCATAAGCAAGCCATTCCTGTCTCCTAACGTACCGACCCCAATCTCTCATCACCTCTTTGGCCTGAGTGTTCTAACACAAAAATATGAAATTCTTTAATGATTTCCTATTGTGCAAAGGATAAAAACAAGTCTAATTTGTCTATAATACTATGGCATCTGCATACCTGTTTAGTCTCTCCTTTCTTCACTTCCCCTTATACTTTGGGTTCTACATTCTCATCTACTTCTCATTCAAGATGTTCTTGAACATGACTTGTGGTTCTTTGTTATTCTTTCTGCCTTAAATTCCCTTCACTTTATATGGCTAACACCATATCCTCCTTTACATGTCCCTAAACAGAGTCAGACCTTCTTTCAACATTACAGAGCTTCATTATTAGTAGTTAACATCACGTGCCTTTTTTCTCACTATTTTTATTCCTATGTTAGTATTTTACCCATAATTGGTACACAAATATTTGTGGAATAAATGATTTACCTTGAAGCCTGTTCCATCTCAGCAATGATATTCTTCATGCCTGAAATGGTCTTTTCCTTGAAAAGTAATATTAAGTATTAAATAAAAAATTAAACTGTTATTTCTGTTAAAATTGAATGAAAAGAAAATTTTCCTCCCTTTTGATTTCCATTTTGTTTTAATAATGTATGTCCTATTCTTCTTTTCTATACTTCCAAACCTAAATATTAATATGGATATTTATATTGGATGAAAAGAGTAGATTATTGGTTTTGGAGGCAAAACCAATGATTTGCCTTTGGGCTGTTCTATACCGGCCACAGGTCTGATTCACGTCCACACTTCATGTTATAAAACTCACAAAAGTGAGTTATATAAAACAAAATTTAGTTCTTAGGAATAATTCTGATCAAGTATATTATTTTAGTCATCAAAAGCATTTCAAAACTCTGCTCTAGTGGAATTACTTACAATAGTATAGTATAAATTTCAGATATCAACTACTAAGGATGTAAGCATTAGGCCTAGAACAAGTTTTTATATATATATAAAACATTGAGCGCCTCCCCTGGTGGCGCAGGCAGTTGAGCGCCGCACTGTGAAGCTGTCCGCAGCCTCTGCAGCACCAGTTCAATCCCGGCTGGCCTGCAAGGGTCCCACATGGCGAGGCAGACCTCTCCTGTCTCACCCACCGCTCCCCATAGCAGTGTATTTCATCAGTCTGCCTGTTCTGTTCCCCACTCTGTCTCTGGTGAATCCTCTCACTCTCCCGCACATCTGGTCTGTACCCCAGTTCTTGTATAAATAAATAAATAAATTTTTGAATAAAATAAAATTAAAAAAAATTGATATTCTTCCTTTTCCAAGAGCATAGCGAGGTAACAGAATTAGTGGAATTAGTCAAGGTTGAATTGGTTATCAATCTTAATGCCATCAATGTATCCATCCCTCTTTCATTTAAAACTGTCATTGATTCCTGAACTAATTAGACACCATATGTAGATATTTAAGGCTGACATTAGTCCTAAAAAAGCAGAAAAATTATGCTTTCACCAAATAACTAGATTTTACTTTGCTCTTACCACATTCTCCTCTCCAGGGTATTTGTTACCTCTTTTAGCTCTAGTTCCCATTCTGATTTCTACTAAAATGGTACAGATTCCATATCTGGCAGTAATGAATATGGGGCCATAGTTAAAATATCCATTAGCAAAACCATCAGCTGCAGCTCCCCACCCCCACCCGTAAGAAGCACAAACCAATGCAAGAAAAATTCAAACAGAAAATACTGCTTAAAAGACTATTTACATATGCTTTTGAAATGGAATATATTTCTAAATAAATTCTTACAACTAATTAAACTTCTAATGTTTCTGAAAATTATTACCTGGTTAAGCTTATAAACCTAAAAAGGACTTTCCTTTATCAATAAAAATTAATCTTGAAAACAAGTTCCTCTAAGAACATTGTATAGTATTCAGGGCAATAAAATTACTGGGTAGAATCCAATAATATATCCTCTTAGCCTATTTTTCTCTTTAATATAATCCTAACACCATCATGACTCAAATTATTGAAATGTATGCCATCAGTATCAGTTTAATATTCCTTGTACAACTGCAATGATTTTGTAACCAGGGACATAGATTCAAACTATTGTTAAAAATTTAAATTGGACATGAGAGTCATGAAAATATTTACAAAAAGAAACTATTTTACACAAATAATCCTAGAGTTTTCTTACTCAAAAATCTATAAACTTGCTATTGAGCTTTCTAACTTTGATGGGTAGCAAGTGGTAGAACATCTTTTTAACCTTATTACCAGAAAAAAATTTCACCTTATTCACTATTATATAGATTTTCCACAGTAACTTATTTCTATAGTTTTCATATTAAACTGTGAAACTTGCATTTCATTGAAGAGTATTAGTAAATTCAGCTCTGACACATCATAATAGAGAACATTTCCTCTTTTAAATGCTTAACACTACTTTAAAAAGATATTTCCTACAGAGGATGTCATAATCTTATACAAAACTCTTTGTTTTCAAATGAATTTGCAACTCAATATTCATTGTGAAGGAAATGATAATGTTGGTATAGTTAGCAGGATGGAAGAAATGTGAGTTACATACAATATAGGGAAATAAGAACACAACAGATCTGAAAAGTTTATTTCTAAATGCTATAGTTTTTTTTCTTAAAAATCATGTTTAACTACTAAAAAATTGGCCTGAATATAATGAGGCAAAATTCCATCTTAAAAAACCCATGAAATTTCAAAAATATTAAGGTATAATTCTAAAGTAATGACTCTACTTTTTCAAACAAAAAACAATTTTATTATCTACTTCAATGACTTCAATCATTATATTAACTATAATTTTCTCTCCAAACCTAAAAATTCAAGAACTTATGAATATTTTAAAATTATTTTTTAGTATTTTATTGAGGTAACATTGGTTTACAGCACTGTATATGATTTTGGGGAACAGGCTCATCTCTCAGTTGTATGTCACCACACCAAAGAACTCTATGCATATTTCAACTACATGTCCCAAATATAGGTCAATAAATTTTCTCTCTAGGGATAAAGCTAAGTGAAATAAGTCAGAAAGAGAAAGGTAAACACTGGGTAATTTCGTTTATATGTGGAATATGGAAAACTAAAACAAAGGGTGAGACAAAACTGAACCAATAAAAAACCCTAGAAATCTGACTGTAGAATTGAGGCTACTGAGGACTATGGGAGAGGACTATGGGTACCTTGGTAGTGGGTATGGTGACATGCACCTGAGATGTGATCCTATGCCTCAGAATCACAAGATAGTGATATAAACCAATGTTAGCACAAAAGAAAAATAAAACTTATTCTCTAAGCCATTCTATTTCCTGTATTTCCAATTTCATGCATAGAAACTGTTCAGAAAGCACATCTCGTCAATTTTACTTCCTTAATAATTTATTCCTCTCATAAATATTACCACTATGCTAATACAGTTCTTATCATTTTCCTTCTAACTAGCTTCCTTGTCACTAGTCTCATTTCCCCATAACCCATCTTTGACATAGATTAACAGTAGTGTACATTTGTTTTAAAGTACAGATCTAATTGTAACATTTCCTTTACATTATTTCAATGATTCTCTATGCCCATGACAATAGACTCTAAACTCAAGATACATGTATTTTTATTATTTATTGCTTATCTATCCCATCTCATCTTTCGCATCCTTCCTGTGCCATGCTTACCTCTTCGCAATCTATTCTCTAGCCATACTAAACTATGAAGAAATAACATGGAATTCTCTTCTGAAAGACACTAAGCTTTCATATAAGTTTTCTACCTGTTTGGGTCACCCCAAACACTTGCTTCTCACACTTGCTTCTCTAAATCTTTTCCTGGCTAATTCCTACTCATCTTTCAGGGCAGTACAGGCACAATCACTTCTGGAAATCTTTCCAAATATTTCCCCTCCCCTAATCTAAACCCCCACACTGAATCAGGTGTTTTTCTGTCAAATTCAATCATATATTATGCATATATCATTATGACTCTTAGCACATACTATAATCGCATCTCTACCTTCCTGCCACTAATATTATAGGCTTTTGGAAGATATCTGTATATCCTCATTATCTAACATAATACCTGGTACATGTCATTTAATGCTTGTTGACTGTATAGATGGATAAATGAATTGGTTCCCTTAGAGAGGGAAAAGAACTTATTTCATTGTTGTTGCCTTTGCTTAAGACATTTATGGAAAGTAGTTTCATCAGATTATAAACTAGAAAAGATGGCAACATCTTTTTCTTTATTGTGTTTGAACAACTAAAAATACTGAATAAAGACTATCATTCAGCTTTAATTATCAATTCCACATGTTCCTTTCTCAAAGGCGACGGACAAAGTAAAAATGTGCTCCTGGTTTTGAACATAATTACAAAGACCGTTTCAATGGAATAAATATTTGCTTCCCAAGGGAAAGTATTGAATACATACTTTCTAAGACTATCTTGAAATATCTCTAAGCAGATATTAAATTTTCAGTTCTCTAGAAAAAACACTGAGAAAACCTTATTGTTTTATTCAGATTCAAATTCAAACATTTTCTTAATCCACAGTTCTCAGAACATACTTTCATTGCCAAACTCTCTCCAAGGGATGCAATATTCTCAGATTTTTTATCCAAACACGCTTGCAGGCATTCCTTTTCTTTAGCCAGATCGTTCAGGGTTGCACCAAGAATGCTGATTTCTTCCCTCTGGGCAATACTTTGTCTTGTAAAATTATCTAAATATGTAAGACATTGTTTTAATCAAGATAAATTTTTATCTGTTCAAGCAGATTGAAATACCTTTCAAAACATATTCTCCTATATTATATTCAACAACTGAAAATAAGTACTATATCCCAAATTAAAAAAATGTTTTTTGTTGTTAGTTTTAGAAACTAAGATGAATGGTAAATTCTAAATGACTCATAAATGTACAAACACAAACATTTGAATAGAACAACGAAGAGCTCTATATCAAAATTTCTCAAGGATTTACTTGCGAGCTAGGGGAGAGGAATATAAGTGTATAAAGTAGGTGAAACATTTTAACAACCTGTAACATTTTCCCACTCTAGATTCCCCTCCTTGTAGTCTAGAATCGCCATTGTACACACATCATTAACCAATAGATCTTAATAATAAACTATTCAATTACATTATCTTCAGAGTTAAGTGTCTTTTCACTCTTGAAATTGATCCACAAAATCAAAATATTTAGATTATTCTTAAACAGCATGAACAATTTTTCTATAAATAAAATCCCAGGAAGTCTGATTCAGGGAGAACATTGGCAAGCCATTTTCAACTTAAGGCCTGAACGGTATAGAATAGTGGTTTTCAAACTAGTTTTCTCCACCAGCGCCACCAGCACCATCTGGACACTTGTTAGAAATGTAAATTCTTAGATCTCACCCCAGACCTACTGAATTAAAAATTCTGATTGGGGGCCTCCCTGGTGGCGCAGGCCTTTGAGCGCAGCACTGTGAAGCTGTCAGCAGCTTCCGCAGCACGGGTTCAATCCCGGCCGGCCAGGGAGATACCCACATGGCGCAGCAGACCTCTCCTATCTCACCTACTGCTCCCCTCAGCAGTGTATTTCAGTCAGTCTGCCTGTTCTGTTCCCCACTCTGTCTCTGGTGAATCCTCTCACCCTCCCACACATCTGGCCTGTGTCCCGGTTCTTGTATGCATGAATAATTTTTTTTTTTAAATTCTGATTGTACATGAGGAGTGTTGTAACAAGACCTCCTCCCAGGTGACTAATGCTCAATGAGGTTTGAGAACTACTACTCTATATAAAAAAGATACAAAAGTTCTGGCAATATTCTATTTCAAGGATCCTGGCTCCAGTGATCTTCATTAGTTGTCTAGGTGATTCTGACATGCACCAAAGTTTCAGAATGACTGGCTTGGAGCTCTGGAAGGGAAGTTCTGTTATACCACACTCCTGTGTAAATCCCTGCCAAGTGTCATCCAGTGCATCAGTAAGGAAGGTAATACCATACTGCCATATGAGGATAATTTATATAGTACTTGAACGTATCATATGCCTTTTCCAAACAATATTTTCTTTAATGCAAACCACCAGTGATTGGGTATTGTTTTGGGTATTTAGATATCTGAGTTCACACCCACTGGCATAAAACAAATTTTAAAAGACCTAAAACAGCTCTAGTATCTATCTCTCAGCTTCAACAAAATCCTTAACCTTACATCCCACTCAAGCTTCCACATTTTTCTGCTACTCTTAATAGGCAAACTTCATGAGATTTCTCTGTTCTTCCTATCTGTTTCCTTAGTTCCAAACCATTCCTCAAACTTCTCCAGCTTCCACATCTAACACTCCACTCAAACTTTTTGTCAGTTTACCAAAACCTCCATGCACCATATCCCATCAGCACTTTTCAGCTTCCATTTTATTTTACTTCTCAAAAGTATCTGACAATTGATCATACCCTCTTTTAAAAAATATTTTATTGCCTAAAAGCAAAATAAAACAAAAAACCCACTCACTTCTGGGTTTTCTTCTTACTTCTTTTGACTTATTTCTAAATGCGCTTCTTATTTTCTATACTTTCCTAGGTGATTTCATGATTTTAAGATATTATTAAATGCTGTTGTGTCCCAAATGTATACCTCCAGCTTAGATTCCTTTTCTGAGATACAAATGTATGTATTTAACTTTTACCTTATATTTTTACTTGGGACTTAAAATATCCAAAATGAGTTCTTCAGTACTTCCCTTTCATATCTTTTAATATTTCCTACCTCAATAAAAAAAAAAACTCCATCCACCTAATCACTGATGCCAGAATTTTTTAAACTACATACTAGCAAATGTTAAAAATCTTTCTTCAGTTTTGAAATGGCGTCTCTACTTTACAGTTATATTTTCATGGGAATCACTGGTAAGAAATATCGATAGGCGACTTTAAAAAATAATTCTCCATAAACTCAAGTAGTATCATAGATATAGCTAAATATATGTATACTTTCCACCAAAATATACAAATAATACACTTGAATTATAAACAAGTCACAATACAAAAACTTGTAAATTTAAGTGATCATCATAAATTTACAGTGTTGCTGCTTTATCTAGCTGTTTATTCATTGAAAAATTAAGCCATAACTAAGTACTTATGTTCTTAAATCTAACTGAAAATAAATTTCACTATCAGAAGAAAAATGTGTGCATTTTTCCATGATTTTTTTATTCATAAAATAAATTTAAGGACCTATCACAACTAATGAGGAAAAAAAATATCCATTTTCTACCATATTTCTTAAATTAGTATTAGGAAGAAAACTCACCAATTTTTTCATCCAAGCACATAATTTTTTCCTGAGTAAGTTGTAGCTCATATTTTTTCTTAGCCAGGTGTCGCTGAGTATCAGAAAGATCTTTCTCTGTGTTTTCATATAAAAGTCTGCAAATATTTTAATAATAAAACTAATTCTGAAGTTTTTGTGTTTGTAAATTTTTTAGCATACTTAAATCTAAAAACTTTTGAGGACAATAATATGCATTTTTTCAGTATTTTTATTATAAAACTACACTATAGGAAGTTTGGAGAGTAAAAGTTAAAAAGGGATCCTCAATGCACCAGTCTAGCATAAATAGCATTCTGGTGTTCATTATTCAGTATTGTTTTTTGCCACGCATATTTTAAAGTTATACTATAAATTAAAAATTGAATCGTGACTTTTTACCTCCATTTAATCTTTAATATTTTTCAACCTTACAATACAAACATCCAAACTATTTTCTGAGTGAAAAGCATGAGCAATAACCATTTATTTTTAAAAATGGAATAAAATGTTGACATGCAACATTGTGCAAGTTTAAGGTGTACAGGGTGTAACTTTGATATATAATAAATGATCACCAATATAGCCAAACTTATCACATTACATATTTATAGTGCAATATTAATATTTATAGTCAATACACTGCATTATTAACTCTCTCAGGCTTATTTCTACTTTAGCATGGTTGAATAATACTTCATTACATAAATGTATCATATATTTTTTATCCATCATCTGATGGGATTTTAGGTTTTTTTTAGCTATTGCTGTGATAAACAGGTAAGCGTATGTGTCATCACAACCATTTTCATTTCCCTTGTTAGATAATATGATAGATTTTTAATTTTTTGAGGAATCTCCATATTGTTTTCCACGGTTGTCGGACCAATGTATATTCCTACCAACAACAAATATGGGTTCCCTTTTCATCAGATCCTCTCAGTACCTGTTGTCTCTTCTGATGACAGCCATCCTACTAAGTGGGAGGTGATAGCTCATTGTGGTTTTGATTTGCATTTCCCTAAGGATTAATGATGTTAAATATTTCTTTTCATGTGTGTTTGCCATTTTGATATCTCTTTGAAAAAAAATGTATATTTAGTTCTCCCCATTTTTAAATTGAATTGTTGGGGATTGCTATATAAGCTGACTGAATTCTTTACATATTTTAGATATTAACCCCTTCCTGATAGGGGCTTGCAATTTTTCTCTCACTCTGTAAGTTGTCTTTTCATTTCATTATTTGTTTCTTTTGCTGTGCAGAAACTTTCAAGTTAGATGTCATCCTGCGTGCTGATTTTTCCTTTTGGTATCACATTAAAAAATATCATTGCTGGGCCTCCCCGGTGGCGCAGCGGTTGAGCGCTGGGTTGCGAAGCTGCCCGCGGCCTCTGTGGCGCCGGTTCGATCCCCAGCTGCTCCCCGGCCACCAGAGGAGGGTCCCACATGGCGTGCAGACCTCTCCTGCCGCCCGCTGCTCCCCTCAGCAGTGTACTTCGGTCCTTCTGCCTGCTCTGCTCCCCGCTCTGGCTCTGGTGAATTCTCTCACCCTCCCGCGCTTCTGACTGTACCCAGTGCATGTATAAACAAAACAAACAAACAAACCAGCAAACAAATAAATAAAGCATGCCTCTATAAAAAAAAAAAAAAAAAAAAAATATCATTGCTGCAACCATTATCAATGAGCTTCTACCCTATATTTTTTTCTAGGTATTTTATGGTACAGTATGGTATTTTGTTACAGGTCTTATGTTTTAAGTATTTAATATATTTTGAGTTCATTTTTTTGAGTTCACTTTGTAAGTATGAAATATGAGTCCAGTTTCATTATTCTGCATTTTTCTGTTTCCCAGCACTATTTGTTGAAGAGACCATCTTTTCCCTATCAAGCATTCTAGCTCCCTTGTCAAATATTACATGAACATGTATGCCAAGATTTAATTCTGGGCTTTCTATTCTGTTCCACTGGTCAACATGCCAGTACCATACTGTTTTCATGACTATGGCATTTTAGTATAGTTTGAAATTGTAAAGTATAATGCCTTTAGTTTTGTTCTTCTCTCTCAAGATTGCTTAGCTATTTGGGGCCCTTTGTGGTTCTACACGTTTTATGTGAAGAAACAAGAGATTGGTTCTTCTATTTCTGTGAAGAATGCCTTTGGTGTTTTAAAGGAGATCGCATTGACTCTGTAGATGACTTTGGGTAGTATGGGCATTTAAACAATATTAATTCTTGTAATCCATGAACTTGGAATACCTTTCCACTTGTAGATGTGTTCTTCCATATCTTTCAGCAGTCTTAGCTTTCATTGTACAAATCTTTTGTTTCCTTGAGTAACCATTTATTTTTAAATAAATATAACCATTTACTTAAGTACTCCCCAATCAATGATATTTATGTTCATTTTTCACCATTACAAATAAATCCCATTTTACAATAATCAGGGAAAAGTCAAACACATTTCTCATTCCTTATATAGACATCTTATACTTCACAAACCTTTTGCAACTTGGGATCCTGATTCCTCAGTATGGTATTATTCTCAAAGCAATTTGACATTTGTTCTCAAGCTATACTTTTCATCAGTACTCAGATTATACAATTTACGCAGTTCTAAGAGAATTACACTCAAAGTCATTCAAATTAATGTTTTTACAAGTTGTAATGTATAATGATGGTTTTTACAGTTCTCTTAAAACTGTCTTCCAAAGTGGCTATACCATTTGAAATCCCACCAGCAATGAATGAGTTCCTGTTGACCCAAATCCTTGAGCATTTCTTGTCAGTGTTCTGGACTTTAGTCATTCTACAACAGCAAATTTATGAGTATTTCATTGTTTTAACTTCCATTTCCCTGATGACATATGATGTGGAATAGCTTTGTATTTTTTCATAAGTTTTCTCTTTTTCTGTGTATCTTCTTTGTTGGGTGTCTTTGGCCCAATTTTAAATAAGGTTGTTTCCCTTTTGTTGAATTTTTAAAGCTTTTGTATATTTTATATAACGTTTTTTCCCTCTGTATTAAATTGTTTTTTTTTCCATTAAGTAACATTGCATTATGACACTATATAAGTATCTGGTATGCATCACTGAGAACCAGTGTATGTATCCCAAAGTTCACTGCCAGAAGTCCAATTCTATCCATCAAACCAATGGGATAACAGTTCTCTATCAGATTTGTCTTTTGTAAATATTTTCTCCCAGTCTGTGGTTTGTCTCATTTTCTTTGGCAGAGCAAAATTTTTCTTCATTTTAATATTATACAGCTTGTCAATTATTTCTTTCAAATACTGTGTCTTGGGTATTATATCTAAAAAGTCTTCACCATACCCAAGATTATCTGCTTTCTCCTGTGTTACCACATAGAAGCTTTGTAGTTTTGCATTTCACATTTAGATTATCATCCTTTTTGACTGATTTTGGAGTCTAGATGTTTTTGTTTGGTTTTGGTATATGGATATCTAGCTGTACTAGCAACATTTGGTGAATACTCTATCTTTGTTCCATTGTATTGTCTTTGCTTCCCCATCAAAGATCAGTTGACTATATTTATGTTTCTGGGCTCTGCAGTCTATTCCATTGATCTATCTTGGGCTTAGAGATCACTGATGCACAGAAACAGACACACAGGCCTCTTTTTTGAAAATATGCTTCTAGGTTATGAAAACACTCCAATTTGTCACAACTATTTATTGATCTAACATAAAACCTCACACAGAACAGCTTCCACTACTAAAATCTATTTACAAATAAATTTTCATTTAAGCAATATAGAAATAGATGAGTACTGATTTTGAAACCCTGGGAATTCTGTTCTTCACCATCAGTAAATCCCAAACAGTAATGATGCACTGCAGAACTTCAATTCAGACATACAGAAACCTAGGTGTATGCTGAACTATATTCAGAATTCAACTTCTATTAAGTAGTGTTGTGAGAAAACTTGTAATTTTCTCATTGATTGACAGAACAGGGACAAAACATTTTGACTACATTATAGGTGAATTATGTAGCTCCTGAGTAGTTTCTTTGTAATCCTTTACCTTTTATACATATAAACATAATAAAAGTCAGTAAATTATAAAATGTAAGACATTGCTCTATAAAAAAATTGACAGCTGTCTTCTCATCAGAAATAGTGAAAATCATAAGATAGTGCAAGGACATCATCAAAAATGAAATTAAAATAATTATGTTCAAATACAAATAATTCCCAACCTTTAGAAAGCAAAACTATGTCTCGTTACCACAAGGTTGCCAGAGAAGTGATGAGAAATGCTAAGATTTGTAATACATTTTGAAGACAGGATAAATTGAATTGATATGGATGTGCCACAAAAAAGATAAACCACAGATCATTTCAAGGTTTCAGGTCAAGAACTGAATAAATGTCATTTCTATTACCAAGATAGGAAGACTGAAAAAACAGATTTGTGTGTGCCAAAGGAGGAAGAGCAGCTGATGCAGAAACTCAGATTTGATAAAGTTAAGTCTGAGATGATTAGGTATTTTAATAGAGTCTATTAGATATTCTGAAGTTCAAGAGAGAATTCCAGGCTGGAGACATACATTTGAGAGTCAAAAGTAACTACATGAAACTGGATAAGATCAAAAGGGTGAGGATATATACAAAAGAGGAGAGGAGGTAAGGTTTAAGAACAGTTCACTCCAACATTTGGAGGTCAGGGAGATGAGGAGGAACTAGCAAAACAGACTGAGATAGGGTAGCCAGAGATAAATATAAAATCAAGTGAGCACAGCAACTCAAAAGTCAAATGAAGGAAGTGTTGAAGAGCAGAGAGAAAGCACAACTGATAAACTTTGACAATTGTTGCTAATAGTTTAAATAAAATAAAGTTGAGAATTAACTACTGAATTGAATATGAAAGTAAATATTGCCTTGAAATAAAGGGTTGACAGAATGATGGGGAAGAAAGCAGATCATAGCAGGTTCAAGAAAGAATAAAAACATGGGAGCCAGAAGTTTAGATACCTCTTTCAACGAAGTTTCCATAAATGGGTCACAAAACTTAGTATGAATATAAAATACCTGATGATATGATTATAAATCTGAACTAATGGACAAATACAAAACATTGTACTCAACTATTTCAGAAT